GGATTTATGTCTATGTCTGATAATTTTTGTAAAAAATGTTCAGAATTTTTAATATAGGAAGTTGTGCTATTTATTAGGGGATTTAAAATGTTTAATTTAAATTTAATAATAAAAAAATACCACACAGTAGTTCGCCAATATACGTTGCTTCCATCGAGAGTGGCTTTTATTTCCTTCGGTCCTTGAGCTGATGTCAGCAGGGTCTAATCTAATCTTGGAGAGTTCTCAACACGCCACAGACAGATATTTATCTGCTTTTCGCGAACACAAACTTTCAATCCTCTTCAATTCGCACAAAATGAAGCTCCCGATTGTGCTCCTTTTGTGCCTAACGGCCGGTTTCGCTTCAGAACTGGATGAGCGGTAAGTTCCCGTTCTTAGGAGTCTTCGCTTCTTCACGAACATTTTCAGCAACCGCGACCTGGAAGTCACCCTCAACCGGCTGACCGACTTGGTGCTGCCAGGCTTAAATCGGGTGATCCGGCGGGCCGGTTTGGACCCTATTCCCCTCCCCGATCAGTCGGTCACCGTAAGTACCCTCCAAAGCAACCTCGGGTTCTACATGGCCACCTTTCCAGGTCCGCGTTGGGTTACTCTCGTACACTTCCCAGCTCACAGAGGGCAGCCTGAGCAAGCTGGCCACTCTGAGTCGGTTCAACGATGTTCGTCTGATCCTCGAGCGCGAACAGCGCCGAATTGTCGTCGATTTCAACATCGGATGGCCCGACTTGGAGGTAAAACTTGTATGGTCTGGTACAACCTTTTTGGCAGTGACGCAATCATTGTCTTGAGCAACGAACATGAGCAAATTTACACTGCCAAACAGTTTGGAACGAACCCTAGTGGACCTTCCGGTCTCACCAGCAGATTTTCAGCTGAACTTCGACTATAACACACGCACCCCGTTGGTGAGCCTCCAAGGAGGAGTGATCACCAACGTGGAGAACCTCCAAGTGCGCTTCCGGTTGGCGTTTAACTTGAGGACGCAGCAGTTTGAGGTGGATGATCTGGATTTCAGCGACACTGGGTATGTTTGGGGGTCAGTTTGGGTTAGTTTGGGTTCAAGGCATCAAGCCTTGGAATTTGATTGAGTTGATCGGCTTTAGGAAAATCCTGCTGACTTTCACGGGAAATGATGCATTCGATCATCTGGCGGACGCCATGACCAACTCGTTCACCAACCTTTTCCACGGCCTCATTCTGGAGACTGTGAGGAAAGTGGCTTTGGAGCCGGTCCAGGCTGTAGTGGACAGCATTAACCAAGCAATTGACAATGTTTTACGCCCCGAGAGGCTCTAGATGGAAAGGTCGTAATAAACTAAAGAGTTTTTAATGCGTTTTTCCTCCCCAAAGTTTTCGGTCGGCTCATTTCAGAAAATGAGCCGACTTTCATATTTGCATGAAATTTTCTCCTGTAACTTGCCCATATGCCACGCCCTGCAAAACCAATTTTAGAAAATTGCATTTCCTAAAAGGTATTCTTTATGAGTTGAGCATTTTTGAAGGTTTTAAGTGGAACATTTTCTATACGGTGTGCAAATTTCCAGTTGCTACTTGAAATCAAGCGTGCAAGTGAGCGAAAATGTTCACTTTAGGCCCATCATTCGCAAGGTTTACAAAAATCAGAATTTACTGCGATGCGAGTAAAACTCTCAGTATTTTCAGCACATAGCTCCTTCTAAACTATGTGTAAATTTCAAATTGTTAGTTGCTCTGGATTCGAAATTAGGAGTTTTTAGAGGTCAAGTGCGCAAGTGATCGAAAATGTTCACTTTTGGCCCATCATTCGCAAGGTTTGCAAAAATCAGAATTTACTGCGATGCGAGTGAAATTGTCAGGAATTTGAGCCCCGAGCTTTTTCTATACGACGTGTAAATTTCAAATTGTTAGTTGCTCTGGATTCGAAATTAGGAGTTTTTAGATGTCGAGCACGCAAGTGATCGGAAATGTTCACTTTTGGCCCATCATTCGCAAAGTCGAAAAAACTAAGAATTTTCTACCATGCCACTGAAACTTTCAGCGTTTGGAGCACCAAGCATGTTCTATACGGTGTGCAAATTTCAAGATGCTACTGACTTTGGATTGGAATCGGGAATTTTTTGAAATCAAGCGCGCAAGTGAGCGAAATGTTCACTTTTGGCCCATCATTCGCAAGGTTTACAAAAATCAGAATTTACTGCGATGCGAGTAAAACTGTCAGTATTTTCAGCACAGAGCTCCTTCTATACGATGTGTAAATTTCAAATSGTTAGTTGCTCTGGATTCGAAATTAGGAGTTTTTAGAGGTCGAGCGCGCAAGTGATCGAAAATGTTGACTTTTGACCCATCATTCGCAAGGTTTACAAAAATCAGAATTTACTACGATGCGAGTGAAATTGTCAGGAATTTGAGCCCCGAGCTTTTTCTATACGACGTGTAAATTTCAAATTGTTAGTTGCTCTGGATTCGAAATTAGGAGTTTTTAGAGGTCGAGCGCGCAAGTGATCGRAAATGTTCACTTTTGGCCCATCATTCGCAAAGTYRAAAAAACTCAGAATTTYCTACGATGCYACTGAAACTTTCAGCGTTTTGAGCACCAAGCATGTTCTATACGGTGTGCAAATTTCAAGWTGCTWCTGACTCTGGATTRGAATCGGGAATTTTTAGAAATCAAGCGCGCAAGTGAGCGAAAATGTTCACTTTTGGCTCATCATTCGTAAGGTTTACAAAAATCAGAATTTACTGCGATGCGAGTGAAACTCTCAGGATTTTCAGCACAGAGCTACTTCTATACGATGTGTAAATTTCAAATTGTTAGTTGCTCTGGATTCGAAATTAGGAGTTTTTAGAGGTCGAGCACGCAATTGTTCGGAAATGTTCACTTTTGGCGCATCATTCGCAAAGTCGAAAAAACTCAGAATTTTCTACGATGCCACTGAAACTTTCAGCGTTTTGAGCACCAAGCATGTTCTATACGGTGTTCAAATGTCAAGATGCTTCTGACTCTGGATTAAAATCGGGAATTTTTAGAAATCAAGCGCGCAAGTGAGCGAAAATGTTCAATTTGGCCCATCATTCGCAAGRTTTGCAAAAATYAGAATTTATTGCRATGCGAGTGAAACTCTCAGGATTTTCAGCACAGAGCTCCTTCTATACGATGTGTAAATTTCAAATCGTTAGTTGCTCTGGATTCGAAATTAGGAGTTTTTAGAGGTCGAGCGCGCAAGTGATCGAAAATGTTCACTTTTGGTCCATCATTCGCAAAGTCGAAAAAACTCAGAATTTTCTACGATGCCACTGAAACTTTCAGCGTTTTGAGCACCAAGCATGTTCTATACGGTGTGCAAATATCAAGTTGCTACTTACTCTATATTGGAATCGGGAATTTTTGGAAATCAAGCGTGCAAGTGAGCGAAAATGTTTACTTTAGGCCCATCATTCGCAAGGTTTACAAAAATCAGAATTTACTGCGATGCGAGTGAAACTCTTAGGATTTTCAGCACAGAGCTCCTTCTATACGATGTGTAAATTTCAAATTGTTAGTTGCTCTGGATTCGACATTAGGAATTTTTAGAGGTCGAGCACGCAAGTGATCGGAAATGTTCACTTTTGGACCATCATTCGCAAAGTCGAAAAAACTCAGAATTTTCTACGATGCCACTGAAACTTTCAGCGTTTTGAGCACCAAGCATGTTCTATACGGTGTGCAAATTTCAAGATGCTTCTGACTCTGGATTAAAATCGGGAATTATTGAAAATCAAGCGCGCAAGTGAGCGAAAATATTCACTTTTGGCTCATCATTCGCAAGGTTTACAAAAATCAGAATTTACTGCGATGCGAGTAAAACTCTCAGTATTTTCAGCACAGAGCTTCTTCTATACGATGTGCAAATTTCAAATTGTTAGTTGCTCTGGATTCGAAATTAGGAGTTTTTAGAGGTCGAACGCGCAAGTGATCGAAAATGTTCACTTTTGGCCCATCATTCGCAAAGTCGAAAAAACTCATAATTTTCTACGATGCCACTGAAACTTTCAGCGTTTTGAGCACCAAGCATGTTCTATACGGTGTGCAAATTTCAAGTTGCTACTTACTCTATATTGGAATCGGGAATTTTTTAAAATCAAGCGCGCAAGTGAGCGAAAATGTTCACTTTTGGCCCATCATTCGCAAGGTTTACAAAAATCAGAATTTACTGCGATGCGAGTGAAACTCTCAGGATTTTCAGCACAGAGCTCCTTCTATACGATGTGTAAATTTCAAATTGTTAGTTGCTCTGGATTCGAAATTAGGAGTTTTTAGATGTCGAGCGCGCAAGTGATCGAAAATGTTCACTTTTGGCCCATCATTCGCAAAGTCGAAAAAACTTAGAATTTTCTACGATGCCACTGAAACTTTCAGCGTTTTGAGCACCAAGCATGTTCTATATGGTGTGCAAATTTCAAGTTGCTACTTACTCTATATTGGAATCGGGAATTTTTGGAAATCAAGCGCGCAAGTGAGCAAAAATGCTCACTTTTGGCCCATCAGCATTTTCTGCAATTCAAGTGAAACTGTCAGCGTTTAGAGCCCCAAGTTTCGTCTAGACGGTATGCAAATTTCAAGCTGCTCCTTACCTTAATCTATACTTTATTTTTCCTTTAAATGTGGAATTAATTAAAATGTTCGCGAATTTTTCAAGTTTGTAGCTGCTGATGTGCAGTTTAAGGTCCAGTGCGCTTGAAAATTATTTTCGCCAAATCGTCATTCAAAACCGTATTTATTTAAAAGCGTTCTTTCAGTAACACCAAATGGAGAAAACTTCGCTCCATTAATCCAGGAAGTGTCGCGTTATTTATGTTTTTGCTTTACTTTAGAGTTTTTTCCAAGTTTAAGGCCTGAAAATCCCTTTCAGTTTTTCGAACTATTGCAACACATTTTTCAAAAATTCAATACTCTAAAGCGAGACTATTTATAGGGCTCCTTTTGCACCGTTCAATAGAGAACAGTCTGCTCTACTAAACAAGCAAATGTCGATTTTGTGACAACTTTTCGAGGATTTTTAGAGCTTGAAGCCAAAAAAAAATTTGCAAGATATTTTTCAAAAATTCGTCACTTAAACTGTGAATGAGGTAATGGTAATGAATGAGGTAATAAGCACCATTCAATCGAAAAATATTACGGCTTCTCATTCTGCAAATATCTCGGGTATAGTCGGATTATTTCTCAATTTTTCGCGGTTTTCAAACCACCTCTGAATCTCGCCAGTTGCGCTCAAGGTTTCATTCGAGCGAAAGTTTAAAGAAAACACGCGCTTTGACGGTGTTTTTCTTTAGTTTTCTGCCTGCAAGTACCAACCAAACTTACCATTATTGAAACCAAACAATCGATCGTTATCGACGCAATAAGTTAAATTGAAAAACTATAATTACTTTTCCCACTCAATAACAAGTTACGGTACTTAATGCTGATAACGGCGATTAGCAAGTCGCCTTCCTCCTGCGAAGATAAAAAACGGTGATCTATAGTGCATTCAATCAAGGAACGAAAAGTTTGGCATTAAGTGTGTGGTGAACGATAGCTTAACTGTGGATTATCGCGGCAATAATTCACCTTTCATTGCTTCGACCGTGGCTAATCCACTATAACCCATGTGAGACTTATCTTTTCTTCCGGAAGATAAACGGCAATTTCATTGAATGATAAAGGCGGCTAAATAGTTATTCGAGTGTCGGCTGACTAATGATTTCTGTACAGATTTGAATGCAATTCAGGTAAGATCGGGCGCATCAACGATGGCTTGAGTGAAAAGAGCAACATCCAGAAGTTGCCTAAACATAAATCGTTCCTCGTTAAAAATGCAGCGAATCGATCCCATTTGCAGCGGTGGAATAATCCACGAAAATTAATAATTCATCAACAGTTTTCAATTGACTATTCGCCGTCCCTTAGCCTTGACCAGAGCGGGTGATATCTGCTAACTAATCGGGCATTTTATTTATCTAGGACTGTTTAAACAGCGTATCAGCAGCACGAATTGCTACTAAGTACCCTGTTTATGTACAAAAAATCGGACATTAATTGATCAGTGATTCGGCCGAACATCACTGTGCACGATGACTCTGAAGGACCTGTACAAGAACCGCGATAAAATGAAGCCAAAGCGACGCTCCGGATGCCTGTGCCCGCTAAACCAGCAGGACAGCCAGGGAAAGTCCCCATTTCCCGCTGCAGACGTCAAAACCCCAAAGTAAGTCCCCAGCTTAAAACCATCAGCAGTCAGCAATCAGCAATAATCTCTGCGCAGAGACGACGACCTGATTCGCCAAGCTTTGAAGAAGAACGAGTTTCTTTGCAACGTCTTGACCGAGTTCTCCATGGGGAAGCTGCTGGAGTGCTTCCAGCTGAAACACCTGGACCCGGGCGAAGTCCTGCTTGAGGAGGGCAAAATCAACACGCATCTGTTCGTGCTGAAGAACGGCACGTTTGAAATAGTGGAAAACGAAAAAAAGACCTGCAATGTCCCGATAATGGGAGTTTTCGGGGAACTTGCCATCCTCCACTCGACTCGAGCCCCCCAAACCGTGCGGGCCGTTTCACAGGCTTCCGTGTGGACGGTCGATGGCTCCAGATACAAAGCCCTGATGGTGAACGCCCGCATGCAAAAAAGAAACGAAACTGTGGACTATCTGAGGAACGTGCCCAGCCTGTCCAAGGCTTCGGAACATCGGCTGTACAGCCTTTGCGATATTCTGCGCGAATCGTGCTACGAGGGCAAGGCCCTGCTGGCCAAAGAGGACGAAACGATTGACAATTTCTTCATTGTAACATCAGGCAAGTGCAGCCCTCGAGCCCTGGGGAAATTGAATGTTCATTTCAAGGGTTGCAGGAAGCGCGACAATCCTGGCCACCAACAGCTCCAGAAGACTGGACAAGCTGACCAGCGGGTGTTTTTATGGGGAGAACATTCTGAAAAAGGACACAATCAGCCCCTACACCATCATAGCTGACTTTGGGGGCGTCACCTGCCTGGTGCTGTCCAGACAGGCGTTTCTGGACCACTACCAGGACCTGGACGACTTTCTGCATGGGAAAACTTTCTCCTGCGGTAAAACAGCGTTGCTGCATCAAAATCCCGTAATTCTGACGGTTTGCCTACAGATCACCAGCGCCTTAACTACGAGGGGCTAGAACTGAAGCAGCTGAAGAAGCTGAAAACGCTGGGAGTAGGCGGGTTTGGGCGCGTGCAGCTGGTGCAGAACACCAAGCAAAAGGACGAGATTTTTGCGCTGAAGCTGATGAAAAAGCACGAAATCATAGGGAAAACCCAAATAGAGCAGGTAGGGTCCGGGCGGGGCAACTGTGACTACTTTTAAAAAACCTATTGCAGGTTTACAACGAGAAAAAGCTGCAAATGGGCTGCGATTGCCCCTTCATAGTGCGTCTTTTCCGCACTTTCAGGGACACCAAATACCTCTACTTCCTGCTGGAGCCCTGCCTAGGGGGCGACCTTTGGAACCTGCTGAAGCGCCAGAGGCGCAAATACTTCGACACCGAAGCGGCCAAGTTCTATGCAGGTGATTATACCAATACGAAATACTCCCTAGTATTTCCTTGCTGGTTCTTTCAGGCTGCGTGTTGGAGGCCCTCAGCTACCTCCACTGTCGGGACATAGTCTATAGGGATCTCAAGCCGGAAAATGTGATGGTGGCTTCGTCTGGTTACTTAAAACTGACCGATTTTGGGTTTGCGAAAAAAATCCTCCCCAAACACAGCTCGTACAGTTTTGTGGGAACCGCCGAGTATCTGGCTCCGGAAATCATCCAGAAGCTGCCCCATGATAAGGGCGTGGACTACTGGGCCTTGGGCATATTCATCTACGAACTTTTAGTGGGAAAGTCCCCATTTCGCAACGAGGAGCACAACGATCTGAAAACCTACCAGGCCATTCTCAGAGGGTTCGATTTCGTAACGTTTCCTTCCATCATTTCGCCCCGGGCCCGGAATTTGATTAAGAAACTTTGCAAACACACGTCGATTGACCGGCTGGGATGCCTGAAGAATGGAGTCAAAGACATCCAGACGCACCCCTGGTTCTCCAAGCTGGACTGGGAGAAGCTGAGGCAAAAAGAACTGGAACCTCCGATTCGGATCGCGCTTAATGGAAAGACTGATACTAGATACTTTGAGAGTTTCAAGGAGGACAAGGAGCAGGTGATGGAGGACTTTTCCGCGTGGGACAAGGACTTTTGAGCACTGGTTTGCTTATGAGATTGTAAATAACAAATAAATTTAGGTTCCCTCAAAGAGAATATATTATCAAACAACGTTATCCTGGATCCTCTTTACCTTATATTAGTCTAATATCCCCTGGGGGGTCCAGGAGGTCCACCCCTCATCATGCCAGGGGGCGGCCCTCTCATCGGCATAGGTGGCGGCGGTCCGCCCCTTCCCATGCCCATGGCACTGGGCGGCATTCCCATCATTCCTGGTGGAGGTCCTCCCATCATGCCTGGAGGAGGGCCGCCCATCCTTGGCGGGCCTTGTCCCATTTGAGGTGGCGCGGCCAGCTGTCCTCGGCCGCCAGGCGTCATTACTTGCTGCGAGGGTCCACCCACTCCTCTCACCGGCCCTTGGAGCCCTACAGGCACCCCACTCATCCCAGCCGGCATTCCTCTGCCCGCCGCCCTGCTCATTCCCGGTCCTGTCGCTGCCCCAGGAATCGGCACTCGGGGAAGGCCCTCTTCTGGGGGCGGGGGCCCTTCAACCGTCAAGGAAACGATGCTTTCGCCCCTCAACAGCACGAAACCGAGCACTCGCTTTTCCTCTCTTTCCACTTTGGAGTTCTTTGGCTTGATGCGTCTGAACTCTTCGCAATCGCCCAGAATCATGTTCATGTGCTTGTCGAAGGCCTTAAATGTGCCGATAAACGTACGCGAGTCCTGCAAAGTGACTCGGACCCGGTAGTTGATGTGCTGGATCATCTTGTTGTTTTTACCGATCGTCTGAAAGATTGTTTGATAAATTAGGGGCCGATTGAGAAAAATTGTATAGAAACTTACCATTTTGCCTGCCTTTTAGGACGCTTTTAGACCAAACAAAAACACGCCAAACCGCGTCAAATTACACCAGCTAACCCACAGAAACTAACCTCAATCTTATTCGGCTTCGCGAGAAGCAGATATTTTTTTCATCTGTCCACACCAGTCCTGGCTTATTGCTGCGTTGCCGGTTTTTTTATTTCCATATATATGCGAACGAAATTATAACCTCAGAAAAACACAGATTCTTATGAATCAGTGTTTATCTCTGTTGTGGATTCTAGCGCGTATTTGGGTCAGTGGCGCTGCTGAAATTCATGCTAATTCCATCGTTAGTGATTTATACAATTAGTTCCCGCAGTAAAGATTTGTATTCTTGAAGTTTTAATGTCGGTGGCAGGGCAAATCCCTAACCTCAATTGTCACCATGTTGAGCAACAATTTTTTTAAACTGCTCCATTCAAGACACACATTGAGTTGCTTTCGGTTGATCCATCGAGTGGCCGTCCAAATGGATACCGCCTACTTGAGACACTGTCCAGACGGTGAACGTTTCGACATCACTTTCGAGCTGAAGGACGAACGGCTGAACAGACAATTCAACTTATCGCGGAAATTGTCTGAAACGGTGGACGCATTCGTTGTCCGGGTGAAAGCCAACGTGGATAAGGCTCTGTCCAAGAAGAAAAAGAAAAAAGATGCCCCCGTCCAGCTGGCCACGGTGGCCCTCTTGCTGGACAATCAGGAGGTGTCAAAGGACTGGACATGTGAAAGGGTGTTTAGTGCAGGAGCCCCAGTGCAGCTGGCTATTAACGAACGGACGTTCAATGTAGTGATTAATGCGCCGTTAGTTGTCACCCTGAATCTGGCTAGTTCGTTTTTGGCCACTTTCCCCACATATCCGGCCAAGTTCGAGTCTCTCTTCACTGAGCAGGAGATCAGTGAGTTCGTGTGGTTCAAGTCCAAGGACGAGACTCAATGGGAGCAAGTCGGTCAAGGTTTCATCTACACGCCCAGCAACAGTGATATTGACTGCTATTTGAAGTTGAGCTGCACGCCCAAAAATCATAGTTTAACTGGCCCCATTTGCGAAACTGTTTCTTCTGGTAAAGTGGCGGCCAGCCCTGGCGAGTGCCCCTTTGAGAGGAGGCAGGCTTTTACCAAGGAGAAGCTCCAGGGAACTGAGTTCCGTGTGGTCAGCTACAACATTCTGGCCGACTTGTACACAGACTCTGACTACACCAGGGAAGTGTTGTTTCCCTATTGCCCTCCCTATGCCTTGAGCATTGATTACAGAAAGCAGCTCTTCTTAAAGGAGATTATCGGCTACCACGCTGACATTATTTGTCTACAAGAAGTGGATAGAAAAGTCTTCAAGTACGACTTGAATACTGCGCTGAGCCACCTGGGCTATGAGGGCGTTCTCCACACGAAAGGCACTGAAGTGGCTGAAGGATTGGCATTGTTCTACAACACCGCCCGATTTATCCTGCTGGATTCCCAAAAGCTGCTGTTTTCAGAGGAAATTCCCCGAAATCCCGTGTTTGCCGATATTTGGGACCGAATCAAAGAAAACCCCAAACTATCTGAAAGGATATTGGCGAGAACAACTGCTCTGCAAGTGAACCTGCTGGGCGCTTTGGAGAGCGATGAGCTGTTGGTTGTAGCAAACACTCATTTGTTCTTCCACCCTGATGCCGATCATATCAGGCTGTTGCATGGCTGTTTGGCTATTCGGTATTTGCAACACGTGGTCAGAACAGTGAAGGAGCGGGTAAAATCTCCACCCATTGGAGCCAGTGAAAAGGGTGACTGATTGAATGTTTTTTCAGTATCCGGGAAAGCGAGTGTCCCTGATTTTCTGCGGGGATTTCAACAGTGTGCCGACCTGCGGAGTCTACCAGCTGTACACCACCGGATCCATTCCAGGCGATGTTATTGACTACAGCAGCAGTGAGTTCTTTTTCCAATTTGAGCACATTTGTGCCTTTTTACAACCGCTCTTTATATTGATTTCAGATCCAGAAGAGGCGATTTGCAACATCAACATGACGCATCCCTTTAAACTAGCCAGCGCTTGCGGCACGCCAAAGTACACCAATTTCACCGTGGCATTTGCCGACTGTTTGGACTATATTTTCTACGAAACCGCCCATCTTAAAGTGACTCAAGTGGTTCCGCTGCCCAGTGAGGAGGAATTGCGCGCAAATTCCGCTATTCCCAGCACAGTGTTTCCTTCAGATCACGTTGCTTTAGTGTCCGATCTCAAGTGGCTTTAAATCTAGGAAATCTTTAGTTTCTCGACCGTGTTCCAGATAATATTGAACTGACGAAAATAAAAATGCGCAGAGTGTAGGAAATCTGAATCCTTTCAATTGAAGCTACAAAATTTCCGTTGTAGATTCCAATTTTACCTGTTTCGAGAGGAAGGACGAAGAATTAGCGATTGAACTGCCAAAGCAGATTAAATGGATGGAATAACTGCAACGGACTTATAATGAAGAAACCCCTGAACATGAAACAACGTCAGTCAGATCGGAAAGGAGGCAAATAGAAGGGCTTCCTCAATGTGAGCTCAACCAAGGGCGTCATCACGTTGATGCCAGAAGAATCCTCCCATTTCATGCTGGTCACTTGGTGTACAACCCGAGTGCATATTTCCAAAAAGTGGTATCTAAAAGGGCACAACAAGCGCCTGTAGTCTGAACTTTTGCTCCTCCCCGAGACACTTACCTGTTGTTTCCTTTCTCGATCTCATCGCATAAAGCCTGGATGAACCATGAGCCTCTATTCACGTTGCGAATGGCCGCATGACCCCTAATGGTGGCCCAAAACGTGAGAAGATCTGCGGTGACTGGCCCGTTAGCCGGACCATCCGTTCTATTGCCATCGACGGCAACCGGCTTTTTTACTGCGGAAAAAGCGATTGGTTTTCCACGACGAGATTAACAGGTAAATGCTTACATTTCTGGCACTGCCTGCCTTGGCAGGATTGCAGAATTAACACTTTCGGCCTGCCGACTAAGTTCTCGTTCCTCGCGCACATTATGTGCGTGATTTTCTCCACAGACACTCGGCAGCTGTTCGCCCCATAGACAACTCCTGCATTAGCAAGGAATAAGACAACTTTTTAGAGAAAAGTACGATAATCAATCAACTAAACAAACCGGTTTCTCCATGCGACAAAATGCAGATAATCAAACTGCTTTCCTCGACAATTGCGTCAATTGTTTCTTCTATTTGTTTGATCATATCGTAGTGGGCCAGATTCGGCTTGACTATCACTTTGTAGCCCATTCTATTGAACACTGACTTCAGTCGGTCACTGTCCTTTTCGGTGCCCTGCCTGTTTTCTAGCATAATATTGTCGCTTTGGTCATGCAGCAAATCCTAAAATGAACGAGGCGATTAAGGCTACTCCTTGGACAAACTGGCCATTATGCTCCTACTGTATACGCCGGGTTGGTTTCAGTGTAAAACGCTTCCTGGTTGATTATGAGGGCGACTCCCGGTTTATCCCGATCAATCGGGTATGAGTTCCATTCCCTCGACATTTCGTCCGCAGTAATTTCGCTGAATTGGGCGGTTTCAAACGATCCAATTGAAAAGTTATTGGTATTGTCTTTGGCGGTTGATGGCTGTCTTCGCATGTCTGGTCGCAAGACCACATTCTCCAGGGAATTTGAGTGTAAATTTCTTTGGCTTCGCACTTGCTTTGAAAGAGATATCACAGATTCGAGCTCATCGGCAAACACCTCAAAGCCCATTTTTTTGAGCATGTTTCGGATATCTCCGAAGTCCATTCTTGAATATTCCCATTGGAGGAAACTCAACTCCAGATAGTCCCGATAATAGTCGGGAATTGTAATGTTGGCTCTGGCTAAAGACTTTTTCATCAGCCCCATCAAGTGGCTGGACTGGCCGCTGTTCAAGTGTTCGGCGATCAAATAGAGGACTTTGCGCTTGTGGTTAACCGCGCAAGAAACTCTCGCTTGCAAGGGTAGGTACATGGTTTGCAGATATTCCTTCGAGTACCCTGCAGATGGTTAAATTAGGCTTATTTCTACCTCAAAGAGAAAACATACCTAGTTGTTTCAGAGCCTTAAAGTTCTTGATAATGGCCAGCGCCTCGACGAACTTCTCCTTCCAGTGGGGATCCTGAGTTTCTGCCCATTTGTATAAAATTCCGGGATTCTTCAGCGTTTCCAGGTAAATCTTCAAGTCTCGAACGGCATCATCACAGTTGTCGTACAGCAGATATATTAAAGCTACCTGCAAAACGAAACTGGGGAATGAATATTCAAGCAGCAACAGTCCGCTTACTATTTCGTATTCATCCAGCTCCTTTTCCTCGATGTGCTGAACATTCTTCAAAGTCAATGTTTCCTGTGGCCCTGATATGGGGGCCACCGCATCCAATTTGTTTCGAGGCGTTTGGTCCGCTTTACTCAACCCTCCTGCTAACAAGAAATTCTTGTAAATATACATACAAAGATCGGAGATGTTCTGGATCGTGGGTGATGGATTGAAAGCCAAAAGGCATCTGGGTGTACGTTCTGTGCATTAGACGAGCCAGAAGGCAACGAACTGCATACGCTGCAAAGCAAATAAATGAAAAATACCTTGCATTTCTTGCGGCTTCTGAACGGTTGAAAAGTACCGCCAATCAAGCTCGTCATCGGATAAGTCGTCTTCATTCAGGTATTTACCTGTGGATGTCCCCACGCCCATTTTACACCTTGTAATAGAAACTTTTGGGGGAAAACCCTTCGTAGAAACAGCGTCTGATTACAAGTTGACAAACGTCATTAATGAGTTTCAAGTTGAAACACTTGTTGCTGAGCAGTTGGCAACAACGCACAAAGGGCTTAAACAACGACAAAATATACGTTTTTTCTGCGAAATAAAATATTTATTGAAATTGAAATGTGGCGGGAAAAAACGAATCAGAATGCTTTTTTGATTAAAACTAAGTATATAATGACTTGCGAATTAGACTCTTTTCTTTTGCAATGAGCTCGAGAAACGGCCATTAAATAAATGCCCAGTGGCTTTTTCAATGGGCAAACCACCGCAAGCCAATCACCTTTGCAATGAGGGCGTTACACTGATTTTTCCGCACAATTCTCCAAGGGCACGCTTTCTTTTTCTTCAGGAGCTTTCTCCATATCTTCTTCCAGCGGTTTGACCGGTTGAGCTGCAGAATCGGCTGGGGTTTCACTTTCACTCACTGGGTCTCTAATGTCTTTTTCCGCACTCGATTCTTCTTCAGCGTTGACTCCGTTTTCCAAACATTCAGTAGCACGAGTTTGACTTTTATCCGCATCCCCATCGTCTGCAGCACTCAGAATTGGGTCAGTCGGGGATTCTTCAGAAGATGCAAGGTTGCCCGTATCTGTGGTGCTCGAGGATAAATTGTGCTCCTCACCGCTTAGTAGCGAAGTTTCCTGATGGGTCTTTGTAGCATCTTCCTTATTCGACTCAACGCTGTCCTCTTCTTCTGAACTTTCCACCGTCACAACCATTCGCTCCGTTTCAACAAGAACGCAGTCGTCCGAATCATCATTTGTGGCATCTCTTTTGCGCTTCCTGCCGTTTGTTGGACCCGATTTCGGCTTCGCTGCTTGATCAGCCGCACTTTCATCGGAAACTTCACTGATGTTGTTTTCTTGGGATAGTAAGTGACCGCAAAGCATCTCCGATAGGCTGGGCTGAGCCCAATGATACGTCTCCTCTTCGTCTGCAGTGCGCGCTGTTCCAACACTCTGCGGAAGCGAGTGGCTTTGTAGTCCGGAAGGGCCCAGTGTTATTTTGAAGTCGTCATTGCTGGTCAGTCTGTCGAATTGTATTCCATCGTCGTAAACAACGCCTGAAGTTAAACAGATTATTAGTAAAATTGGAGATCTAATGTCGCAGAAAGTTTCATTAAAGTCGTCCAAAATCCCGACTTTTACCCGCGAGTTGGCACACTCAAATAGCACTTTAAGATTTTTATTTTCTTTCAAAAACGCTTGTCTCTAAAGATGCAGAAAGTTTAATAAGAATCTCCCCAAATTTTGATTTTTACCGGCCTCAACCGAACTACTCAGAACATCAGAGGTAAGAGCTTACCAACTGTGGTTCCGTCATCATAGTCCACACCCGGATGATTCTTCTGCATGTGCTGATCCAGGGATTTTTTGCATTTGTACCCGCAAATCGGACAAGGGCAGAACGTCAGGTCGTGGCTTTGCACGTGTTTATTTATTTTATCCACGGATGTTCCAACGAAGTTGCACATCAAACACTCCTTTCTATCGGGTTTATCGTGTTTTGCCGCCACGTGCTCAGCCACATTTGTCGCGTTATCATGATGAAACTGGCAATAGACAAACGGACATTGATAGGCGCCCAGCTTGTGGTCCATTTTGATGTGTTTGGCCAGCCGATGCTGAACCAGTTCTACTAAGTTTTTGCCTGCGAATCTGCACAGACTGCATACAAAATCACATGCGACATTGTTTTGGAAGAATTTGCACGCTAGCTGAAGTTCTCTCCGATGCTTCTGGCTGATGTGGTTGTTCAAAGTCGGTTTCCTGAAAGGGAACGGAATATTGTTCAGATGATTCTCACAATTTAACGGATTTTTTGGTCACATTTAATACTGCATGTAAGAACTATGCATGTAAGGAACTTACTTCGAACATTTAAAATTGCACAGCTTGCACATTCTATGCAGCTGGAAGTAGTGGGTTTGTAATGCCATCGGCTCCAATGCGACATACTGGCAACAATTACACTTGAACAGCCGCTCATTGCGCAACTTTACCACCAGTTTCTTTTCGCCAGTTTTCGACTGACCAGACGACATGCGTGAATTCTGGCCCAGTTGCAACTTCTGCCTTTTGCTTACAGTCTTATCCAGCACAATTGGAGCGTCGAGTTTCCTTTTTAACCTTTTCGGGGCATTGGAGCTGTTGGCTTCGGGACGATCGTCTTGATCGTCGTTAATAAGCACCACCTCGTCATCGCTGGCTTTTTGACTATCCACGAAAATTACGTCGTCACTTTCACTGACTCTTCTTGAGGCTTTGTTGTTCACCTTCTTCAAAACCCCCGATTTCGGACAAAGCTGTAGAGCATTATAGCCTTTCTTCTTGGCTGCCGCTTTTGACGCCCAAATGTTGAGCGGATTCACCGTCAGATTGCTGCTGGGGCCTTGCCTATCGGGCATCAGATTCGTCCTCACTCTAATATATCCTTCAGGCAAACTACCATCCTTCTGATCAGCAACAAAAGAGCTCGCCGTCATTTTGCGCTTGCGAAACTTCCCCAGTCGCTTCAGTCCAGCCTTCTTCGGATCCAAACACTTATCCACCGATGCGATTAACTTCCGGCCAACATGAGGCGACCAGTTCTTCTGTTTCAGGGCGTCCAGAGCCTGCAGACGAGCCACGTGGCGCAAATCCACAGTAGAGCATTCCTGCAGATTGTTGGAATCGATGTAAGATCGAATGGCGCTTTCCACTTGCAGGCACCGCACTTTAAAGCGGTAGAAACCGAGCAGGATGTCATAGCAGCTATCGCAGATGGAAGGGAGTGACGAAACGTAGGTATCCTGGAACAAAGTTATGGAATTTTAAGACGAAAAAGTGTTGAGCAGTTGCAAACTGAAACAATTATTTGCCGCGGTGGAATAGAGCTTTTATTGCAATTGTAGCCACTGCAATACAATTACCTATACGCATACAAGGCGAGTTTTTTTATAAGTACAGAGATCTAACTGGCAAAGAATATACAGCAAGGGATAGTCGACCGAGCCTTAAAATAATGCTTTAGAAAATCTTTAAAGCTCGAAGTGGTTGGGACAGGTTAGGGTTTAGGTTTAGAGACAGACACAATAGGAGCAAGTCCACAGCGACTGGCTTATAAACTAGATTTTCCGCTAGCAGTGCAAGTAACTACAAAGTCGCTAAAGGGGCGAACTTCTGTGTGAAGGCACCTACCATTTCAGGCACGCACAAAGTGATGATTTCCCTCATATTGTCCGATGTGTCTTCATCATCAAGATTGTGTCCAGTCTTTCCATCGGGAATAATGACTAAACACGTCCGGCAGACTGGATTTACAGACATTTTTTCAAATAAAACAATAATGTATCTAAACACTAACAATACAAGACGCCATCTTTACCTCGACTGTCATTTTCATGTTTTCATTTGAACCAGAGACTTTTGAAACATTTGAAAGATCTCAGAGGTTACTCTGTGATTCGGTTTGGTTAAGTCCGCTAATTAATTGCACTTTTTTGCAAATGTAAGGCCCACAGACTATGCACTATAGACCGATTGATTGATACACACAAATGGCACAATTTACAGCTGAAGAGCTACTGCTGGCGCCCCAAAAATACGAGTGTAAGTTAAGCATCATAACCTCAAAGTAATCTGGATCCCCAATTTTAATTTGCAGATTTAGACCACACTGCTGATGTACAGTAAGAAGTTCGAGGGCTGTGAGTTCAGGTGTTTAATTCCACTGTATTTCAGGCTGCACAGCTGGGGGGACAATCTGCAGGAGGCGTTCGAGCAATGCGGAATGGCAATGTTCGCCTACATGACCGAGATCGAGTCAGTGGAAATTAAACAATGCGAAGAAATTGAGGCTGTAGGAGACGACTTGGAGGGCCTGCTGTTCCACTTCCTGGACGAGCTGCTTTTCCTGTTCAGCTGCGATCCCTTTCTGATCTGCAGCAAATTGACCATAACAGAATTCATCACAGGACCGGAATTTCGCATCAAATGCAAGTGCTATGGGGAGGAATTCGTCATTGGGAAACATCCTCAGGGTACTGAAGTCAAAGCCATTACCTACTCGGCCATGCAAATTGTTAACCAGCCGGAGAACAAGAGGTTTGAACTGTTTGTTATCATTGATATTTGATGACCAAAACCATCCAACCAATAAAACATTGTTATAAGGACTGAAAGTTCTGATTTTTTATTGGCCTGTGCATTTTTGGATCTGGTTAATTTTTTCCTGAAATAAGCAGAGTTGTTTCGACACTCCGGCGATAGAGATGAAAAGATCCCGCCTAGTTAAACTGTCCAACAGTCTGCTTTTAATGTGGCCTATTGTATTACAAGCCCAGCGAATGCCTGCACGTACTGACTGGGTAAATTTAAGAGTCCCTATTTGTAAATTTTCATTAGCGTAGGACGGGTTTGCCGCATAATTACTGTTTAATTAGTAAAAAGTGTATTGACTTAAATCACTTCGCGCCGATTCTCTAATTTTAAGCGCAGAGGAATCGTCGGGTCATGTTTACGGTCGTACGCGCTCACCATTCGTCCGAGCAACGCACTGGTCAATGATTTTCGGAAAAACATTACTTACATTTTTTAGCCTGAGCCACAATCATAATTTCGCCAAAATCATTTGCTAAATATATTTGGAACAAATTTTCTAGTTGAAAGACACTTGAATAACTGACACAAGACTTTGCGTCTATTCTTAGTAGGAAATGAAATGCATTAAAAACAGTTTTTTTATCGAATGGATCAAAATTGCCTCTTTTCGCACAGAAGCCCTGATCATAAAGCACTTTTAATGTTCTTTTCACTTTGCGCCCGGGCGATGGTTACGTGTTTTAAAAACTAGAAAAATAAAAAATTGACGTCTAATCGTGACATGATATATGAGTGAAAAATGACATTGACACAAAAGTTGAAATATGAAATGGGGCTTCGCTTTATTTCTCAACTTCGACTCAAAAATAATCGTCGATACAAATCGCATAAAATGCGTTTATCCCCGTTTGTGTGCATCGAAAACTACTGGCCAGAACGTCATTACGTTTCCCCGTAATTTTCCCAACTTTCGCGTCGATTCAAGAGTTGTAATTGGAAGTTTCCATTGGCTCTCGTGTGAAAAACGTGACTTTGGGGCAGTTTCCACGAGTCGCGTACAGTACCGGATTTTCCGGCGAAGCGATTGGTTGAGTGCCGTGCGTTCTTCGCGATCTTTCAGTGATTGGAGGCGACCGCAACTTATAAAACTGCTTGATTTCGGCCTGTTTGGGCGCTAACCGACAGTCGAAATCGAACTTCGACGCCAAAGAGAACTCGTCGGAATCGGGGAAAATTCGGAAAATGTACTTTTTATTGCGCGCGGAAATGCCGAAAAAATGATGGCAAGCGGGCGGACATGGGTGAGCATAGCTTGTTTTTTTCTTTTCGCCGCCGGCTGGTTGGTGGGCCTAGCAGAAGGCATCAAATGGTTGTAAGTACTTATTTTCTAGCTTGACAGATATTTCTGTTATTTCCCTGTTCACAATTTGCTTAATTGAGGTTGATTGCATGGAAAAAGCAGCTCAAGATTGAATAAAGCCATGAAATCATCGCGCTTTCCTTTAGCAATCGGACTTATCGCCTCAACACACGTAATAAATTACAAAACAACGTTTTATTGCCCTTGCTCTTGCTCGATAAATAGGCGGTAATCCACAAAAGGAAAACCAACTGGGTCAAAAAGCATTTATTCCATTTAGCCGAAAGGTTAAATTAACGATAATTGATTGGAATTCAACTGATTGAATTGATTTTCCGCTGGCCGCAGGCACTTTTCGTACTTCACCATAAACGCCCGAAGTTAAGTGCGTGTCCGCGCTCGAAAGAAAAGGAACTGATAATCCCCAGATCACTAACTATGTAACTCCTAAGTGGTCGTTTAATGGACAAGTCTTAGATATTTGAAAGCCTCCCTCAAACGCGACCAATTAAACAAATCGAGATAATGGAAAGTGGATTTTTAATGAATTCAATGCGATGGGTGTCGATTTAACAACAAGAATTTCAACACTCTTTCAGACGAGGCGCCCAGTCGGCACCTAATAACACCCGATCCGCCCCTGTAATTATGGGGCGCCCCTAGATTCACCTCACTGATTACAGGGGAGAGTTTTCGCTATCGGTTTTGTGATTTTACACTTTCCCGATTCGACAAGTTCACCTGGCATTGTTTCCAAACGATTATATATTTCAGTTTGTTGTCACAAAGAGTGTCTTCGCTTAGGCGAAGTTCGTTTCACCGGATAAATTGGCGTAAAATCGCGGAGAAAAAGCGTGAGACAATCGCCTGTTGTGGGTTTCTAAGTGTTTTTCATCATTTTTCAGACTGTGCTGCAACGGTCTTTTATGAACTGTGAAAGTTGCAAGTGTCTGCTTGCTCTAGATTGAAAGTTGCGATTGTTTCAAGCAAAGCGTGCTTTTGGGCAAAA